TACACGTATTTTATTTCTTTTTGTTATATCAAAAGAATGGATCTCGGAAAGGAAATTCAAACCCGTTGGGTACGCTTTCACGCGTCAAAAAGAAAAAAAAAAAAAAAAAAAAAAAAATAAAAAAAAAAAAAAAAAAAAAAAAAAAAAAAAAGGAGAAAAGAAAGGAAATCTCGTCTCGTCTCGTTTCGTCGGTTTTAAATTTCTTGGCACATATTTTCTACGATTTTCCATCATCGTGTAAAAATTCTTTCTCTCTCTCTTTCTCTCACCCTTTATTTCAAAAACATTTTCCTTCTTTGGAAACTTTACTGTACTTACACAAAAATAAAGGATGAAAAAAAAACAAAGTAAGATCGGAAGAAAAGTGTTCTCTATCTCTCTCTCTCTCTCTCTCTCTCTCTCTCTCACACACACTCCCTCTTATTATCTCTTTCTTTTAACTGTGAATCGTTCACGAAAAAAAAAAAATAAAACGATTCGCGAGCTAACCGATGAACAAAACAAACACAACACACACAACACAAACGGAGAAAAAGATTTTTATCGTTCGACAAAGTTTCGCGCGTTGGGTGATTCCAATTTATAACGCGATACCATTTTATAACGCGGAACTAATGGTGGTTCGATCGGATCGACGAGGAAGAAAACACTGAGTGAGTGAGTGAGTGAGTGAATAAATGAGTGAGTGAGAAAAAAAGCCAAGAAGAAACAGGGGAGGGACGTCGAACGTGAAAAGTGAACAAATATACGAGGGTGGGGAAAAGAGAGCAAAATAATATATATAGAAAAAAAAATGTTAAAAAAAAAAAATAAAAGAAAAAAAGAGAAAAAAAAATGAAAGAAAGAAGAGTCGACGGCACAGGCCTCTTTCGTGAGTCCCGCTTTTCCATGTCACGGGAAAAAAAAAAGAGAGAGATAAAGAGAAGGAAAGGGGAGGGGGCGACTGAAGGAAAGGAAAGATGAGGGGGGTGGGTGGGGAAGGGGGTTGAGAACTCACGTTCGACAGATGGTGCCGACGGACGAATGACGTGTCCGTTGGTAACGCATCGCGACTCGAGGAAAATTTGTCTACCTTTTCCATCAACCAAACCATTTTTATAAGATTGTGTATGTGCAGCATCCATATACGTGTACTTATGCATTCGTGTTTTTGCCTTATACGTCGTGTGTGTGTGTGTGTGATTTGCCCGCCATTTTTTCTGCAACTACATTTTCTTCTTTCGATTCAAGTTGTTGATTGAAATGATTTTATAAATCTTTTAAATTAAATATGTATTGTTATTGAGAATGAATGAATAGAATGAATGAATGAATGAAAAGAAGAAAGAAGTTGCCTCGTTGTCCGACAAATGCATCGCAAACAATCAGTTGTGGTATAGTAAATGATTGGCGTGTATAGGTAGAATAGGATACTAGATGTATTATATATATATACATGTGTGTATGTATATATATATATTTATATGTTTTGTGTATTCTACCAATAATACCTTTATCGATTCAAATAAATAACGTTGGAGGAGTTATCGAATAAATGTTAAAACGTGATTACACGAATAGAAAGTGTTCATTCGGAATCGATTAAAAGGGTGATACATATTTTGCATTATTACACCGAAAGAGAAATAGAGATATGAATGTATACTGAAACATTATATATACATACGAATAAATTATTACTATAAATGCATATATATATATATGAATGTATTATATTTATTTATATATAAAATATGCATGACACACACAGTGTAATACGTTACGTCCAATTTCCTCTATTATTGATATGCGTATTTTCAATTAGAGAAAAAGATGAAATTCGAAAGAGAGAGGGGAAAAAAAAAGAAGTGGAGGAGATAAAAAAAAAAAAGAAAAGAAAATAAAAGAAAAGAACGTTGTATACCTTCGACACGCGATAAGATAGTACTTTTTTTCTTCCGTTTAGACGGAAGGACAAAAAGAAAAAAAAGAAGAAGAAGAAAGTAAGATTTACACCTTGGGTCGCCGTTGAAAAAGTGAGACAAAGCGAAAGATCGACGTTACACCTTAGGAGAGGTAAGGGAGGAAGAGGAGCAAACGAGAAGCCGACAAAGAACGGACGACTTTGAAAAGATCGTACGTTGTTTATCCACGTTGCCTTCTCCTTTATTTTGTGTCTTCTCTAACGTCGTCGTTTGATTTCTATCGTACTATCCTACGAAAACAATGATTCTCGAAACGTTCTCTTCTCCTCTCTCACATCATAACAAATGTATGTTAACACTGGCAACGTATTGTACTTATATTAATATCGATAGAAATTAAATAAAAACGTGGATATCTCTTTTAAACGTGATAATCTCTTGCGTGAAGTTTACAACTACGTACACAAGTGAATTTTCATACATAGAGTTAATCAAAATATATAGAAATGGGATGATTACTTTATTAAATATTACATTATTAAAATACGCGAATATATCTAATCGAATGAAATATTACTATTGTAGAATATTAACGTCAAATCGTGGTCTTTCTTACATTTTTCTTCTCTCGAAGATATGAAATTTTCGAAGAAAATGATGAGAATAGTTTGCAATGTCTTGCCGACACATAAACATATCCGATTGATCAAATTTGTATTATTATTATTATTATTATTATTATTATTATTATGATTGTTATTAATATACGAATCGTTTTGAGAATGTTTCTTCGAATATGTGTTGGTACTTGGAGGCGTTTCTATTTTCGATTCCTATATATTTCGGGAGTCTTTAGTCTTTTTTATTTCGAAATACAACATCCTGCTTTCGCAAGAAGAAACGAACGAATGTCACGAGAAACGAAAGCAATCATCAAACGGACGACGAGCACTGGTTGGATGTAATTTTCTTCAATATATTGAGAGAACAATCGAAGAATCGAGGGAAAACAATAGAACGTAGCATCAATTCTTTGTTATTCTTCAAAGTTAAAAAATGTGAAAGCGCATAGAAAGAAAAAGAAGAAGAAAATAAATGTGATTTGTTATTTACATGATCGACGTGTGCTGTGGCCTGTCCATTTCGGGAAGAACATTGCTGGTGTTGGTGCCGTGAGATCCTTGCACCTGTGTAACTTGTGCGTTGGTGATGTTGACGGCAGTAGCAGTTGTAATATTATTATTATTAGTAGCAGTAGTCCTGGTTCCCTGTCTCGCGTTATCCTTCACAATTTTGGTCGCGCTCAGTGGCGTGGCGGTCACGCACATTGTCCCACCGACCTCTTGTCTCCACGTTGCCGGTGAGGAAGAGGAGGAGGTACAATCTCGTATCAGCACACCAGCAGCACCATAATCGATAGAATCACGAGTTACGAATTCTCGAGCGGTGGCTGCACCTTCGTTAGCACCTCCCGATATAAGAGTAGCACTAACGTCAGGAGCAATCAGCGGCACTTTTTGATATCGCGAAGGTCACGCGTTTTTATCCAACGAGATCGCGTTACGACGATGATTTCTCAAACTTCTAACTCGTGGTAGCCAAAATAATAACACCTTCGACAAATCGTAACGTAATTTTCTGATGCCGGTTTTGTCGTTATCGATGTTCGTCAATGATGACGACGTCCTTTCGCGATCGGGTGCGCGATCGCTCGCGCAAAATACGCGAGCTCTCGCACGCTCGTCCTCGACGAATCGAGGAATTCGATTACGCGCCACGGTCCCTATTCTGACAAACCTTCCTTTCCTTATTGTGTTAACTTTAAATGCACCTTTCTTTCTCTTATTTCTCGTTAAAAGAAACGAGAGAAAGAGAATGATTATAAATAATTGAACGTTGATTCGGCCAATGAAACTGACAGGTGTAGGAGCGCGCTCGCGATATATATCGCGGCCGAAGAAAACGTGTTTTCACATGTACAATGCCGTACGTTCGCAGGTCCCACCTCGTGGCGCGCCGCGGGCCTACTGAGTGACTGACTGACTGACTGACTGCTTGGAGCCTCGAGCGACGAGCGGCCACGAGCCGCCCTGCGTGGGTGCACACGCGGTCCTACGTGCTCGGTGGGGAGACCGCATCACCGATAGGCCCCTGCCGCTCTCGGATCTTGGTGGGGAGCGCCGCTAGCCAATCACGAGCCACGCCGCTCGTACGCGCCGCCGACTCGACCCCTGCGACTCCTAGCACGGATGGCATTCGCTCGACGCACGTCGCGCGGTGCGCGTCGTCGTTAAATTTCATTCGACGTTTACCCTTTGCTTTACCTCTTTTTGTTTTTACTTTTGTCCTCTTTTTTTTTTTTCTTATCTTCTCTTTTATTCTCTTATCCTTTATAGCTTCTTGTCGGAATCAAACAAGCGCAAATAGTGTTACACGTCGTCGTCGTCGTCGAGTCAGTGCGCGTCCAAATTCGATTGTTAGATATTCTGTGTCGAAAACTACTAAAAGTGTCATCTCGTTCTTCGTATATAAATCGAAGAAGAACGAAATATATATTACACGTGGGTGAAATAATTCATAGGTGTTAAAAATGATCTACGATGGAGTTTGCTCGTGCCGTTCGATTCCTCGGATAGTGTGATGCACTCCATAAAATATTTGGTGTCTCGAACGCAAGATGCTGTTCTACTGTCTCTCCCTCTTTCTTTTTCTCTCTCTCTCTCTCTCTCTTTCTTTCTCTCTCTCTCTCTGTCTTCTTCGAACCAACCTGGTGAATGACGACGACGATGCCAACGAAAACCAGGTGCAGATGTTTTCGCCACCCTCGACGAGCCCTGCGTATTTTTCACGAACCAATGGGCCACTTTGCCACGTCACCTTTTACGTTATCCCTCTATTAGCTCGAGACACGTTAGTTGCGTGACCGCTCGGACCTGCTATGGATAATCTACCTTCCAAAAACCCGGTGCCCTTTAAGGATTTTATCGTTCGATCGATCGACCACGCTGCTGACATTTAAGACTAATTGTTTATTTTCTGCTTTTCTTTCTTTTTCTTTTCTTCTTCTTCTTCTTCTTCTTTTATGTGACAATTTTTTGTGACAAGTTTTTTTCTTTTATACCAAAAATGCTCTTTTTCGATAAATTAATAAAACACGTTTGCAAAATAATCGATTATTGTCATTATGTGTATTCCTTTGAAATTCCCTCCTCCCTTTCCATAAATTTTCTATCTAAAAAAATACACTTTTGTATGTAGACAAAATTATATAAGATGAAACTTTTGTGATTTTAATGTTTCATACGTTGAGCAAAAAAAAAAAAGAAACTTGCACGAAATTTTCACAAAGATTCTTTGGGGGGGGGGGGGGGGGGAGGAAAAAGACTTACGCTCGTTATACTTAACAGGGTGCGATATCACTAGGGGTTTTTTCTTTTTTTCACGATAGATTGCACAAAGGTATTTAATTACATTTACTAAGTAAGAAAAAATTGTGGTATTTATTTTATGAAAGAACGAAGACTGAAACGCCAACGATGCTGCGAGAGTAAAAAGATATACAGGCTTTGTCTTTTAACGTCATTTTTCAACAAAGAATATCTGCTTTCACCTCTAGGATTATCTTCGTGATCTGGGAATACATACGTGTCTCGTATTATTCAAGTAACATCTATCCTTTCTATTTTTTATATTCTTATTTTAAAAGAAAATCCTTCGACAATTGGAAAAGTATACAGAAGGGAAGTCACGTAACTCGTTACAAGTCTCTTCCTCGTTCTTTTCGACGAGAAGAAAATCCAACGTCGTTGACGTTTCGTGACATTTTTAGAAGTACCCTTACGAAAAGAAAAAAAAAAGAATCACTTACGAATATTATATCACTCCTTCGTTCGTAACGATTTTTTTTATCGATAAACAAATATATTTATCGAATATTTGTTTGTAAATATATTTCGATGTAATTAAAATTGTACAAAAATTTGTTAAATTGGGTATTAAACAGAAAAAAAATAAGAAAAGAAAAGAAAACAAATTTACAAGTTTCTCAAAGAAAAATCCAAGAAAATGAATTCGTACAAATGTTTCCTCTCTCTCTCTCTCTCTCTCTCTCTCTCTTCTTTATTATAAATAAGAATATATAAACATTCTCGATTACTCGGTTTCTCGACATTTAATATAGAATCGTAAGAAAATATTATTATGGTAAAATATATAAAGAAAATTCATGTCTCTTATATAAGAGCAAAACTTATCACGAAAGAGACGAATGTGGATACGTATCAAACGTCGAGCAGCAGTGCCAGGGGTTCCTCGAGCGTGTTCGATACGACTTGTTCCCGACTGCTATTCATAAATAATTCATCTTATCGTCTGTGCGAAAGGAATAAGAGAGAGAGAGAGAGAGAGAGAGAGAAAGAGGGAAAACATAGTCGAGGAACCCTACGAGAGAGGTAGAACCGAGAAGAGTTAATGAAAGATAGACGAAACGTAAGGGGGAAAAGAAAGATCAAGGAAAGAGACACAGCATTACTCCTCTTCCTCTCTCTCTCTCTCTCTCTCTCTATCTTTCTCTCTCTTTTTCACGGTCTATCTCTCTAACTTTAACAACACGAAATCTCCGTGCCGCGATGAAATTCCTGTGTACACAAGATAAGAGAGAAGCACGGCAACCTGCAGGCAGGTTCCTTGCAAATAAAATATCGTCTCGTGTTGAGGTAGAAGAAGGGCCGAAGAAAATTGTTGTAGCGCTGTTACGAATGTATGAGAGAGAAAAAGAGAGAGAAAAAGAAAGATAAAAAGAGAGAAAGAACAGAGTTTCAACGAAAATATGAAAAGAGGCTATATTCCGAGCAGGTTCGAAGTTGTGTACTTGAAATTCGGTGTGAGTAGAACCCTTAAGTCTTGGCGCTAGCATACTACTCGCGGTTATTCTCGCGTGTATATACAACACCCTCTCATTTCTCCTCCTTCTCCTCCTCCTTTTACGTTTTACCATTCCTCCTTGGTTGCAACTATTACTGCTACTAGCGTATCTCGCTAAAAGTTCTTATTCTTATTCTAATTTTTATTCTTTTTTTTCTTTTTTCTTTCATGGTTTCAGGTGCATGGTAAAAATGTTGGATAATATTGTATGAGTTTTTATATTAAAAGATTGATTTCTATTAACAATGTTAGTCGATTTCTAAACCTAATAAAGATATTATTTAAATATCCTCAAAATCGGATAAAGAACACTTTTGTAAAAGATATCTATTTTTGGTCAATTCGAATCGCTAATATAATTTTGGAATGGTGTAATTAATGTTCGTTAACCGATTACTCATACTATTATAAATTCATTTTTGTCATACTTATTTTTTAAACAATTATGTAATTTTGAAAATGTGTATTTTGTAATAAGGAATAAAATATTTTTGTCATTGTATTGAATAAATGGATATTGATTTTTGTCAGTAAAGAGTGACTCTTGGGGATGACACTGAATTATTTTGTTTCCATACTTATACTTTGATTATTCTTTTCGTTTAGTTTCTTTATCTTTTCCTTTTCTTTTGTTTTATTCTTAAGTTTACGAAACGAAGTAAAATTCTATGGTTATTAAAAGAGCATAGAATTTTATAAGAAAACGACGATTTTTACTGTACCATTACGTTCCCAGTAGAACTAAAGCGAGAAAGTACGAGAAAATTTAATAGTAGTAGTAGTAGTAGTAATAGTAATAGTAGTAATAGTAGTAATAGCAGTAACTTGGTAGTACTTGAAAGTCGCGAAACTCGAGAAAAGCGTGGAACACGCGAAAGAGTAAGAGAAAGAGAGAGAGAGAGAAAGAAAGAGAACTAGTATATCTATCCACGTTTGTTCCCCGAACTTTCCATTCGAGAGAGAAAAGAAGCTCTGCATCATTAATCACGAAGATAACGAGCTTTAAGGATCGGACGTTACATACAATTAGTTTCTTAGTCTTGGCTTAAGTCGTAATTAGTCTTTGAAAATGAAGAAGAACGCGCGTGGAAAAGAGGGAGGGTTACTACTTTCTTACGCGTTTTTACCTATCGTTTCGTTTCGACAAAACGAAATAAAAAAGATAAATGAAAACGAGTAATATCATTTTTCTGATTTAATTTTTATCATAGGGTTAACAATATTAAAGATTAATTTCTCCATTCAAATAATACTATCCCCTATTAATCAATAACAAAAATAAACGTTCTTAAATCAATCAATTATTAACAATAAAATCATCTCAATTCGTGTTTTACTTCCAATCCAATTTTAACGAAGGATAACGCGATTTCTACAATTAAGCGTATTCGCGTATGAATAAAGAGAAAGAAGACAAAAAAAAAAAAGAAACAGGATGAAAAACCGGTAGAAGGGAGAAAAAAAGAAGGCAAGAAATCCATTCATCCGAAGTCATATTCTTTCGTAGCGAAGTTAAATCTTTAAATAACGCGCCAGACGTTTCCTCCAAATTCGTTCGCGAATCGAAGAAAGACGAGTAACAAAATAAAGAAAGAAAGAAGTAGGGGGATCGGTGGGTTGGGGTAAAGGGGATATGGGATGGGGAGGGAAGGGGGGGAGGTAAGAAGGAATAAAGAACGGGAGATCGTTCTCGTCGTTGAGCCAAGAAGAGAAACAGGAAGACGTTGATGGTTCGCGGGTCGTACGAGCTACAAGCAACGTCGCTACTCTTCCTCCTCTTCTTTCCCTCCCCCTACCCCTCCCCCAATCCTCCCCCTTTCTTCCCTCCTCCCACGCTCGAGATTCCCTCGCATGGGTAACGATGCGGCGCATAAAATGCAGAGCAGAAACACAGTAAGAACGGTCGTGTCTCCCACCCTTTTCTGTTCTCCATCCCCCACATATGTATATACGTACGATACGTACGGTACGTACGGTAAGATATTCCAGTGGAATAGTAAAACACAGGACCTCGACGTTTTCTTCTCATTTTATCTCATTTTATCCGTTCACCTTGCACATCTTTCTTTTCTACTAGCAGTAGGTCTCCGTACCCAGCTAAGATTCACCCCTCGTCAAAGAGAGAGAGAGAGAGAAAGAGAGAAACTGTTTCTTTCTTTCTTTCTCTATACTTCGGGAAAACTCCTTTTTACCGTCTCCACGAGATGTCACAGAGAAAGGGTGAGAGGGAGAGAGGGAAA